CACCAGTGCAGCATTTTTATATTTCGTACTCCATGGAGTTTACCGATATTGTCAAACAGTCAACATAGGTGAGAAAAAGTATTTGAGACCAATAGCTGAATAAGCATTTGAATCTCCATTATTAGCAAAATGTGCATGAATGTATTGTGGGTATGAAATGTAGGAAAATTAAAAAAGAATGAAACGAAAATGCTAAAGAAACGAATTCTATCAAGCAAAAAGAATGCTGCCATTCCTCTCCAAAACGTAAGTGGATATGGACCTGCACCGGAACAGGTGTTATCTGATTTGTGTATGGTTCATTGGATTCTTTACTTGACAAGCAATGTAGAAATTGCAATATCCGGTACAATCTTTCGACGCCTGAACTTGATTTGCTGCATCAAACGGAGCCATTTGGGAGAGCCAGAATTAATTCTGAAGAAGTTGAATGGGACGTGAGTTGCAGAACATAGGTTTCATCCGCAATCCTTGAATGGCGTCCTTTTCATATTTTAATATCAGTTCTAATCAATAGATAAAAGCCAAGTATGTTGTTTGAGGGTTTCGAGAAGACCGAAAACTTTATTCAAACTTCATTATTGTTTCGATAGAATTCAGAACTATTAAAAGAATTTGATGATTAACCCACTATGCAATGGTTCACTTCACCAAGCCACTTCGCTCAGCTGTCAATCAATCGTAGACTACTTGAAAAAATCTAGATTTTCGAGGATAATTCGGGATGACAGTGAACTGGCGTTCCAGTCGTGAACTTTACAATGAGAAAGACACATCCCCAATATGAAGGATGGCTTCACGCAAGCATTTCTAACCGGTCTAGAGATTTTGTGATTATTCAGATCCAACAGAAGAACTGTTAGTACAAATTGATCGGTTTATTCCATAGCTGTTTGTTATAGAATTTCCCAGCACATTGCGTCATTACACTTATCCAAAGTGTATAGTTCCAGTCACGTGATTGTCGGGGAGATCCATTACTAAAATGCTGGCTAGCTGATAGATGGTTACGAACCGACTGGTTCTCCCCCTCCCGTGTGAAGTGTACATTCGTGAGACTGATTTAGCTGTCAAGCGATAGTTCAACGTGTTTCGTCATCACACAAATCGGTAATGATGTTAGACACGACCGAGGTAATCTGTTTGTTTCATACCGTTTTGTGAGACAAAGCGGGAATCAATATAGGTCAGTGTAACAATGAAGCGATCACTGGAAGCGCTGATACGAATTTTCATGACATACCACAATTGATTCCAGAAAATATTGACTACTAGTTATTCAGTGCTGAATTATGATAATTCTAGCTCTTGAATCGGAGTCTGGAAATGACGTATGTATAAATAGAATCCTCATAGGACACAGTGTACCTGATAAAATTCTCCTAAATTTGATGCAAAGGAACCAGAAGGCTAAAAGAAATAAATTAAGTCTGAAATTACCAGCTGTACTATTCTAATGGATTTTACTGTTAAATCGAAAGTAACATTTCATAATTTAAGAAACCGATCGTTTCACAGTGAATTTCTCCACAACAGCGAAAACCATCAGGTTGTTACTCTTACATCTATGGCTAGATTACTTCTTCGCTGAGCGTCATTTTATTTACTATCAGATTTTAACATTTTGCCTTGTTCTTCCTAAAAACTTAAAATATACGTATCCTATAGACATGTGAATTGAGAAAAATATGCACAAGCGTTTGTTTTGTTTGACACTGAAATAAGTATGTTTCATACACAACAGAGATAGATTATCAGCCTCCATCTACTTGCTATACGGTTCTTATGATATCAGTATTGGTTATCACGTTAGAAATAGGACAGAAAAAATGTTTGAGCAGCAATTTTTTGGGATAAATAAGTTTATCACGTTGTTCTCTGCGGTATACCGAAAGATTTTTTCAACATTCTATTCCCGGCTTCAATACCTGCACAATATTTGAATGCAATTAGGTTTCGTGCACTCCTTCATCAGAAGTTTCTGTAATAAAGCACCTAGCAAAAGCACCAAATTTAATAGTCTAAGGACATGATGGACTCCCTGTGGCACTGCATATGAGCAAAGCGATCATTCCGTACTTTTCAAATTGATTTGAATTGATATATGAATCCCCTTGGACAACGATGCAGCATTTTGAAGTTCAATTTCAATCAGTAGTTACACAGCACTTAAAAATTTTCCTCGGGTCTTCATTTTCATGCGAAATGGAAACTCATTTCAGTCATTTTGAAAGTTCTTCATCTGAAAGTTCTGGAGCATCATCTGCGAACGAGCTTGAATCACAGGGAACTAGTTCAAAGTTGTACAACCATATTCATTGGATCACATACAAAACAGTATACTCAATTTTACGAAATATCTGTTTCTTTTCCTGTCGTACCGATTATCCTGGTATCGGAACCACTTATACACAACACTGTTGAGATTGATCAAGTCATCCAGATCATTTGCCCAATTAGAAGTTTCTTACTGGCCTTTTCACAATCGTGTGATTTCGCTTCTTCCCTGCATCGGATCATGATGCAATAAAATAAAATCTATCAGAAAAAAGTTTTAGCTTGAAAACCTACAACCATTACTTCGTTTTCAAGAATGTCTTCCTCATAGGCCATCCAATCTCAAATCACGTTATTTTTGTCGTGATCTATAAGTTTCGTTAATTATCTTGAATGAATAAAACGGTCTTGCTACTTATGAATGTAAAGGCATATTTATAATTGCCAGCAGTTCAGGTGTTGATGCAAACAACTATCAATGTAAATTATTTCTTTTGATCACACATAAAACATTTGAATAACATAAAACTTCCAAACGTATGTGTACGCAACAGGTAGTACTTTCAAGAAGGGAGGACTCACAGGCTATTTTAGCACAGATACAGGTGTTGTCTTCTATCAGTTTCTCGGCTCTACGGTCCGCAGACAGTATTTGATCACAGGGCTATTTGCTTTTGGGCGTTTCAGTCGTAATATCAGTCCCAAATGGATCAGTTTGTTCTCAATGTGCAGGTATGCGAATAATGATCACACTCATGAAAGGTTACACCTATAACATAAGCTATTTTAACGATTCGAATAGTTAATCTCGAGGCAGAAGTGACATAGTTTGAACACTGAAGACACCGATACCACCGTCCTCACGGCCACAAAATATTGCAGATCATATATAACATTCATAAATGTGGGCAAGTTTACAGTTTCGAAGGCAACAGCGTTAATAAAAATACAAAGGAACCGACCAATGCATTCGGTTAATTCCTTCGTTCCCAGGACAAACTGCTTGAAACGTTAGTAGTCGATAAGGGCAATGTTTTATTGTATAACTCTGGTTACCTCATTTTATTTCATGGCAAACCAAACAACATCTGTGCTCCGTGAATTGTCTAACAATGTTTTGAGTTCCACAACGAATAATGCACTGTCCTGAATGACCACCATATGCATACAAACATGTGGGATTTCAGTCCGTGTAGATGACCCTAGAAGGCCACACAGTCAACCAGTGCAATGACGTTCTGGGCACTGATTCCTATCGCGGAGCAGAGGTTATTTAGGGCATACTTTTCGCCTGAAGGAACATTTTATGGACCACCAGCAGATGGTCTGTGATTTGGTTTCATCCGACGGAAGTGACCCGAGCACGGGAAACATCAAATTGATCATTAAAATTTTCATTCTGCGCATTTTCAGGTGGAAAAATTTCAAATCAATTCGGCTGACTAATCAGAGGACAGGGCATCTATTCACGTTTTTCTCCTACATTTTATAAGGAAGTCAGAGTCTTAGTCCCTAGTTAGAGGTTTATTGCGATAGGATTTGTCTGGTGTTCTCCAACATGCGGGGTGGGATAGAGGTGGGCGTGCTGTGGTTTGGCAAATGAATATTCATGCATCAATGAACTGATCAGTAGTATGTTCACACGAACAAAAAAAACCACAATCCAGTCTTTTCGTTTTTTCTGACAGTCTTTAGTTATCTGGTGCCTCATTTTTGACAAATATAATTTGGGACCCACTGTACATCAAATACGAGAGGCATGGTAAACGAATATTTCCCAAAAGGTTGTGTGAATAATTAAAAAATGGCATCATTATCATCATCACTTCTTCTTGATGTAGGAACGAGACAGATAGTTAGCAGTTAGACAAAACTGTGAATAGTGAAATAACTTCAACCCTTTACTACGTGATTTCCGATCGAATCGTTTTTGCTCTTTTAATTCCGTATAACATCCACAATAAAGCTACATCAGGGAGAATTAAAAGGCTTTTTTGTACACCATGAAAAAATCATGATATTTTGGAAGTTTCGAAGCGTGTGTTCTTTTAGTGAGCACACACGGGCAAAAGAATGGTAGCTTTAGGTTAACCCAGCTTCGCTGGGCCGCACGAAGTATAGCTCTACATATTCTCCAAAAATCTCAGTTCTTTTACAAAATAAATAACAAAACACTTGCTCATCAGATGGCATTCATCTGAATGGAAATCATTACATTACTGGACATTCACCAAAATGTGGTGGAAAGCCAGTCAATGGAGTAGCGAAAAGATACTGACTATGGAATGATGACAAATTTTCATGAACGTGATTCACTCCCTCCCGTTCATATATTTACGCACACAAAGGTCAGCTGATTGGGTATAAAGCTGGTTGATCTGTATTGTTTGCATGAAAGTTTTTAATACTTCAGTTCGCGTTACGGTGAACAAACACTTGTTGGTTTGATTGTTGTGAGAACTGACCACTTCTGAATGTGGTCTTACATTAAAATTTGATCAAAGTTTAGTCTGGAAAAATCTTCGTTTCACCTTGACATGTGAACAAAAACAACACGGGGCACGGCACACGCAACCTTTGACTAAGGTGAGATTCCAATTCAAAGGAATGTGTGATTCCTCGGATGCGTATGGGTGTACGCAGGTGTAGGCTAATGAACATTCCTTACTAATCCACTTCAGGTGAACTGAAACCACTTGAAGAGAATCAGTTTGGTGATTGAAATGTCTCAGTGGTTCGCTCGCTTATCTCTACAGACGTCTCATTCCATCACGTTGCAACCCCAAGATCTACGCATGGATGCCTGTGCATGTGCCGGTCTGTTTCAAGGTGTTTACATGTCAGATGTCGAATTGATTGACCTCATCGTGGTTTACCTCAACGGAATCTTGTCATCCACATTCCCATCATCAGAACCACCATCATCATCACCACCACAACTACCGAAACAACAACAAAATAGTAATGTGAATGACAAAACAACAACAAAACAAGAACAACAACAGTGACAAACCCAGATGCAAATTTTTCAACGAGAAACGTGTGCGTTTGTACTCACCATTCGGATGAATCATGTGTATTGCAATTTCGATCAAAGACCGGGTTACTGAAGACAATATTCAGTTAAACTATAGTGTAGAGCGGTAAAAAGCCGACCGTTAGCAAAAGCCCACCACCTCAGTTGTTGATACCCTAAACGAGAATTGGATGTTACCGCGTTAGCTGATACACTTTCACTCTTATCTGGTCCTGGCGGAAATTGTCTTTTGACATTTGTTTATTTACTTCATATTTTGTAAGCCATCCATGAACAAGATGGATCGGTTAAATTGAATTCCATCTTGTACGGATGAGTTCGGAAAAGATATTCTAAGCCAATACATCTGATCGTGTATATTCACGAAAAGAATATACAGGTCAACTAACTGCACCACAAATAGATACCTTGGTGACTTAGTTCTGTGGCTGAGCCTCTGTGTGCGTTCGAACGATGTAACTCAACTTTAACGATATACATACAATAAGAATGAAAATGTAAAGCTACACTTAATGCATCTTTCTAGGTGAAATTTGTATTTCATGAGATGCAAAACCCAACAGGGAACAAACAAACAAGTCGTAACGCTTCAACCATCGATTTACTGTCCCATCAAACTCTGTACATTGATTCGACGGTTGTTGCACTCCATGACCAAACGGGATTATGTAACTCACACATTAATCTTCCCCTGAATGAAATCAAGAACTATGGGCAATCCCAACGCGATAGGTCAGTCAAGTAACGCATATTCATGTGCAATGACTGTGCGAAATTTGGCGTTATCAATCAAAGTATGTTTGAGTTGCTTTCGTAGAGTGAATGTTGTTCTTTCTGCCGGCATTGGAATGTCCGTGAACGCGGAAATCCGAGTCACACTGTCCGATTCTTCATACAACATCAGCTTAGCGACGAACTGCAACTCGGTCGGGAAATTGTTGGAGGATTTTCCAATCCCATAGAATGAACATCTCAGGTCCTCATCGATTCCTCGTGATCTAACAAGCATGACTGACAAAAATTTCAACTCGTGCTCACGGGTATAACCACTTGACTGAACAGCATGCTGAGTCATACAGATCTCTGAATCATTCCTGATTGTGGTTACCCTAATTCAGAGAATTCTGCTAATTGATTGAACATATTTTTGTCTGCTCTTGCCAGTCAGTCAGTTAACCAACACCTCACCCCTCTAGTCGGAATTCAGCGTCTGTGATTGGGCTCCAGTCAAACTGGTGGTGGGATATCACACACAAACACAAACAAAAGCAGTGATAGAAATAAATTAAAAAAATTTTTCTGCGGGCCAAATTGAGTTTACTTTTCTATGATGATTTAAGTAGAAGGTGATGAAAATCCGGAATTATACCCAACTACCGGTCATTGTTTTGCAGTATTATGATTAATTATATTAAATATAGAATAGCGTTTAAAATAAAATAGACAAATCCCGGAAAAAGAACAGACCTTTCCAGTCTAGTTTTGTATGGTCAATTTCAATTAATATGCTTGTACCTAACGCGTGGCGGTGTGGATGAAGCTCGAACCTCACCCTAGTCGCCCGATTTTGTCATTCTTTTCCCAAACACTGATTTTTTCTCTTTGTGGCACATTGGATCTGAGAAAGTGCACCCATCAAGGACAAACTGTATTCAAGGTGTTTGATGTAAAACATGCAACTGACAGATGTTCTGATCACTTTAAGGATCGATTAAAAGTAGGAACTGTCCTCACAAGTATTCACAACTAAAGTCTAATAGACAGTAGGCTAACTCAATACCATTTGTGTGCGCTCAAAAACGAGCTGATCTACGCAGGTGTGTTCAGACAATAATTAAGGATGTTGTTTTAATTCTCATACTCTTTGCAATTTCAACCAGAAGTAAAAAGGTCTTTCCATGTGATATGGCAAATTCTGTTTGTTCTGCTCCCAGTCACTCGGTAAAATTACTCATAAACAAGTGTTAGATACCATCAAATAATCTTCTCTATCTCCTTCCTATGCATTCATTTGCTTGAACTCCAATCAACAGAGATTAGTGTTCTCTAATTCCGTTATGTAGCAAGTTTTGCCTGAGAGTGATCGCTTGAACCGGGCGAAATTAATAAATCCTAGGACCGTATCATGTGACTATCTCCGTTGCGCAGCCAACGAAATGACCACAATTATGGATTCGTTTTTTGACCGAATATCAAGTGGAGGCGATCGTGAAAAGATAGACAATTGCGATAAACTAGATCAACAACGCTATAATTTCCGGTCACGTGATTTGCCACGGATCATCCCCGATCGGAGACAAGTCAGGCAGGCAATATATTATATGACTGGTTAAACCGTGTGCTCTTCCCTACCGACATTGGTGATGCGATATTGGGAAAAAAGAAAACTATCCCTGAAAATGGCCCTCAAATTCCACTTTCACAGGAACGGCATGGATAATAACAAAAGACGGTAAAGATTGACTTACCAGCTGGTATAACAGGTCTTTATGACATGGCTTCATACACAATTCAATTTATAACTTTTTTTTGTTTTTAATAATTTTTACACAATGACATCACAACAGATTATGACAAAGCAACTATGCTCACTGATTTGGTCTGTCGGAACGCTCTTCAAAGGAATCTACTGTGGTCACGTGCGACTGACGCAGAAAGTGGGTGAGCCTGTAATACATTATCTCCTAGCGCGAACAAAACTTTCTACCAATGTATGAACTATCTAGATAACGTCACTGGTCTTTCAAAACCCCTAAAATTGTTCATCGTACAAATGCATGTTTCCGAAAATATCATGCGTTTTCTCGGATCGGAACGCTTAAATTCACATTGAGATGCAGTGCCCTACCAACAGTGATAATGGTGATGTACAGTGGTATTATTAGTCATGCGAATGAAAAACTCATGTAATGTTTCGTCTTGCATTTAACCAGAGTGAATAAATTTGAGGCTCATTGTTTGTTCCACTTAGTTGCGGTTTGAATGCATTCATTTTGTCTTACCAAAGTTATGTATGCAATGGTCACATACAACCCATTTAACTATCGGAGAAAGCTGGTTGTGCTTGTGAGTTCCTTTTAAACGCATCTAACTTTGGACAACCAAAGTGTATCACTATCACAACGGTGTATTGTAAGTATTATCATGCTTTATACACCGCATAATCTTAGGCATTTGCACTGGTTGACAGCCAGTTTCTAAATTTAGATATGTTTCTATCATCATCTTCTTGAGCGATTCTTTCTGAAGGAAAAAAATTGAAGTTCATCTTGTGAAAAGTTTAATAGTCTCCTTGTTGTTGGAATCCACTCATGGTTGCCGCCTAATCTACCAGGTGAGGTACGATGCCACACCGATAGCGTAGGCGACGTCCATACGTGGGTTTGAATCCCACCGAGGCTACTGAACTCTTCACAATTTGAACTTCAGATTTTTTCCTTTAGAAAGAATCACTCAAGTAGATGACGTCAGTAGAACTTTTAAATTTAGACTCCGGTTGTAGAGTAAAAAAAAGACAGTTGGACGGAGCCATAATTTGCTTATTTTTGGGTACTGGATGACTGCTGTCATGCGTGACGAGAATTTTTTCAACGTACTGCAGTAAAGCTAAAACAAGTAGTATTATTTCTTATCTGGTCATCCTGACAATAATTTTTAAATGACTGATGCGGTTACTCAGAACAGATGAGCTCATAATCAGAAAAGAAATGCAGATAGAGGCAAACAGTTCTGCGACCGATTAACTGTTCTTTTGGGAGAGGCAAAGAGGATACATGCGGTTTCACCAAAGATGGCGCCGGCAAATAAGGGTTTTAAAGAGGAACCCCTTAAGCAGTACGCCGCAAGCAGGCACATTTATCTAACGACATAAAATATTCATAAGAGCTATGGCGGGTTTTCATGTGTAAAATTATCCAATCTGTCGCCTATTAACCAGAGATTGGGCAGTGGATTTAGCGGTAAATGAGTCACTTGCGGAGCCTCTCTCAGTCCACACTAGCGGCAGTGGTTAGAGTTGAGTCGTGATGGTGTCTAAGTGACCACACACACAAAGATGGATGTGGACTACCTGTTTGAGAGTATTATTAGGTGTTTGCCATGCTAGCACCTAAAGATTCCAAACATATACTCCTCCTATGATCGTGAACACTTTCTCACTAAAAAAACGATAGTAATTCCGGCTGAATTCATAGAAAAGAAAAGAGAGGAGTGATACTTAGATTTCAATTACTTTTTCGAACAATTTCTTCCCAGAACATTAGTGATGGCAATCGAGACCAGCTGAGACTCAGTGGGTCTTGTTTCATGACAGGTTGTGTATGTCGAGTGGCTTGAAGCACCGAGGCGAGGAATAGAGAAAGATGACGAGAGAGAGACTGAGACAGGAAAGGAAGTTATATTGTCAGGAAATAGAACCATTTATCAACTGGCGCCAAAATGTTTCGTAAAGTTGGTTTTCGCACAAATAGTACACAGAATGTTTAACTTGGGCAGAAGATCATTTGTTCTGTGATGAAACCGTCAGTAGAGAAAAACGCATATTCTTTTGCAAACCCAAAATGACTAAAGGAATATGTTTAAAATGAAGGCCCGTTATCGACAGAATAAAATGCAGAGAATGAGCACTCAGATGTAGAAGTAAGACAAATATCATCAACTTAAGTTCCATCGTTTTTTTGGATTGAATAGTGACAACATATCTGTTAAAATGGGCGCGTATTTTTCGAAAACTTTCGAATTTGGTTCTCAGCTTATGCAAATGAATTACGAATAGTTGAGGCATTAGGCGGAATAATCCAACGATTGCTCGACAAAGTTCTGCTTCCATAGTCATGGAACTTATTCATTTCGTTCGGGTATAAAGGCCGCTGTCGTGGGCAGCCCCGACTCGTTTTCGTGTACAACTAGGCGCAATAGGACGAAGAGATAGGTTATTTCGAGTGATATAGTGCATCTGCTTCATTGCGTTTG